TGAACATTGTTTTGGATAAATGATTAGAATGGGTCACTTGACTATTCTAATAAAGTACCTCATGTAGTCAGGAAGAAGGATATTAGATATACATCCGATGTTCAGTTCTTTTAGGGGACAGTTTCCCCCTTCTCCGTGGATTACATAATCTACATAGTGAGATAAAATAAGCTGTTACTTCTGACACACTTTTAACAGTTCTTGGTTACCAAAGGGTGACATTTTGTAATATGAAAAAATAATCTATTTGATGAGTTGCTTGATAGTGTTTGTTTAAAAAAACAAACTTTGAATATGTAGAATTTATGTGTAAATATGAACTCGCCCGCATAATGCTACTAACACTCGTAAATGGTTGATTTGTAATTCAGTTAGTAGTACACCCACATAAGTAATTGAATACTGTTCAGGTGCTGGGGTACATCTTTTATTTTCCCTTTCCTCAACCAAACAAAATTAATCTTGTCATCCCTAGCCCAGTCTTCATTTTGGAGAAAGACACATTCCATTGCTCACTATAGTGAATTTTCTGTGTTTGGTAGTATATGAAAACATTTTCTGATTTGGAGGTCATGTACTTTTGATGGGTTAGCATGGGGAAAAAATGAAACACATAGTTCTTGCCACACTGTTAACCCCCATTAAAAACACTTTTCGACTAATCCCTGGGGCTATAGGTCAAATGTGGAGCCAGAAAATGAAATGAAGACTCTTAGATTTATTCTGATCTTAGAAAATGATGTTCTTCCAGAATGCCTTTGGAACAAAGTACTGGTTTCAGGTTTGCTTAGGGAGTTTTAAATCCTCTCGAAGGGGTTAGCTTACTGTGCTTTTTTCTGTGTAATCGGGCAGAAACTGATCTGCCCTTTAGGTCGAGGCACATGATATTTATCAAATGACCTACCAAGACTATATTATTTGGTATCAATTAAAAATGTCCCCTTAAAAAATGTCTTAAAAATGACTCTTTTTTATAATTTACTGTTTTGTTCCTTTATGGAATTAATAAACATTAACAGTAATAAGATTAATAATACTAGAGTAACGTCTCAACTTGATATTATAAAGGGATGGATGAAATATTGCTAATAATTTCATATTCCAGCTAAGTAACATTAACCCTTTTTTTGACATTTACCTTTTAAAGTGATAAATCTAATTAATAAAAAATATATTGAATGAAAAGCTTTCCAAGATTTATTATACATTTCTTGCATTCTTTAAACAATTTAAAATCATGTTTTAATGGCAGAATCACTATGAAGGTCATTATTTCCTTGTGCTAAAGATTATTTTAAGACTGTTCAGGGTTTGCCTACAAGCATCAATCATAAATGGCCTCCTGCCACTACTCAAGTTCTCGTGTTTGTTCTTGCTGCTGTGTTCATGCCTTTAAAGGCCTTGCCTCCATCAGCCCTGTTGCTTTAACTCATTTGGGTTATGTGGGCTTTAAAATCTACTCTTTAGTTTGGTATGTTAATTTAGGACACTTGATTGAAATTGTTAGAATGTCTAAAACAGATATAAATGCTCTAGGTAAAGGCATGTTCTTTACTGTGTTTGACTTTGCCTTACCCTTCCCAATGCCTTTTCTCCATTTTGGTGTACACATTTACATAATTATTTCTTAAAAAACCATTTATCTCCATTTTTTACTTATATTTGGTGTTACGAGTCAAACATTTAGATGAGTATTACCGATCAACTTGTATAAGTGATACTTTCTGAAAATCTCAGAAATGTTCCTCCTTCATTTCTGCCTTAAGAAAGAGGTAGAAATGGAGAAAAAAAAAATTGAACTTTGAAATCAAATTATTATTTTGTTTTATTAGCTTTTTAATTATAAGCTTATTTTAAATAGTATCTTTATTGTGAGGATTCTGTTATTTTTTAAATATTTATTAGAAAACTTTTATTAAATTATAGTAGACATATAATACTATATGAGCGTTGGTAGTATAAAATAGTTATTCAACATTTATATACCTCACGAAGTGATCACTGCAATAAATCTAGTGACTATCTGTCACTGTACAAAGTTATTCCAATACTGTGTACTCTATTCTCTATGCCGTGCATTACATCTCTGTGGCTTATTTATTTTGTAACTGGAAGTTTGTACTTATTATTTTCCTTCATCTTTTTCACCTGTCCCTCTACCTCCCCTCCCCTCTGTAAATAGCATCGTCTTGAGTGCACTTTCATTTAGATACACATTTTGAAGACTTAATTACTGAGAAAAATTATATCATGTTTGTCACATGCTGAATAATATGTTGAATGAATAAAAGGATGAACTGTATTTATTTAGCCTTGTTATTTTCTAGTTAATTAAGAACAATACAAGTCACCAGTGTCAATTACAAAATGCCTAAGAGGAGATAACCCAAGAACTCAGTTTTTCTGCAATTTTAGTACTCGTTTTCAATAGAAAATATAATTTTGATCCTTATAGTCAATAAGTAGTCAAGGGAGGAACACTCTTAGTCATTAACTACTATAGTTGCATATTTGGAAGTAAATGGATATTCTCAAAGGCATTATTCTTATTATAAGTATTCTATGCAAATGGATATATATGCATATATATGTTATATAGAAAAGCGTTTTTTAAGTGCAGTCTTAAAAAAGTTTTCATATATATAGATGTTTAATAAATTAAACACAACACTGCTGCTGAATCCATGGTGCTCCTCTGCCCCCACAGAAGCTACCTACTTTTTAAAAAAAATTTAGTGGTGCTTTATTTTATATTGTTATTCTTGTAATTTCTGTGCTTAAGGCACTTAAAAATATCAGAATTCATCCTTTACTCCAACATTGCAGAAATTTTCACCCAGTTTTCCCCTCCCATGACTGTGTTCAGAGAAGGAAACAGCGAAGCCCGTTTTAAGTGGATTTAATATGCAACATTATGATCTGTGTCTAGCAAGTATTTTTGTTTTAATGAATAAATTGTGTTTTTGTGTAGCCAGCTTTTAGAAGACTTTTAATAGATCATATTAGAAACAAATTATATGGCCATACGTTATTTGGTAAGTATACTTTTATGAAATCACCATATGACTATTTATAAATCTGACCCTTTTTTTGGTGGGTCTGTCAATATTTAAAAAAATAGAAAAAAATCGACTTTCTTTAGAAGTGAAATTTGTCTTGTTTGGTCATTATAATTTTATATCCTTAAATATAGATAAGTAGATAAAGATGTATATGTTTGGGTGTGTAGATACACACACATACTATCTCTCAGATTGATTTAATTTTTATGGCTCCTTTTGAAAAGTTGATCTAGTGGCTGTTTTTTAAAAAAAGTATATATATATTTTTTTTAGCAGAAAGAATTTCATTTTATTTTTTCAGCCAGAATAATTGGCATTATATTCTTGATGTGAGCCACGGGAGAACTACTACCAGTATTTTGTAATTAGAACTGTGTTTAGGAGTCCGAAAGCAGGTTCTATATTAGAGCGTGTGAGGTTTTTGGAAATCTTGTAGTTTGGCCCACTCATTTGGATCAGGGGACTCAGGACCATTGGACTCAGAGTTTATTCCCAGCTCTATCTGACCTGTGCTGGTGACTGTGGGTAAATCATCTAATCTTTGTAACACAGAGCTGGTGATTCCTGTCCTTGACCCTAGTGGTACTCAACCAGGCACTGCCTTGTGGAAGACACTTGGCAGTGTTTGGGGATGTTTTTGTCATAGTCAGTGGGAGCCGCTTACCTTTGGGACCAGAGATGCCAGCTGCCCTGCAGTCACACAGGATGAGGAATTGTACTGTATAAACATCCGGAAATGCTCTCTTGAGAGACACTGACAGAAGGATCTTGTCAGCTGTATATGTGGAAGCACTTTGAAAGATTTGACCGCACTCAACAGATGGAAGACAGTTCCTACCTGGTTGATATTTTTCCTTTTTTCCAAGGATGTTTGGGATATGACATACCCTTTTAATTCAGTTATTAATATTTACATAATATTTGTTATATTCCTTTTTAAGAGAAACTCAAATATTATGCTTTCTTTTTAAGGATAGTGTTGATCATTTTCTATTAATATCACTTGACTTTCGTCATTTTTGTTTATTTTTGACTGTAAGAAGAATATTTCTGGAAGAATAAAAGATATTAAACGTGTCACATGTAACAATTGATGTTTTTAGTGAACAGCAGTTTACCAAGCTGTTTCCTGCATTGAGACCAATTGTGAATGAGCCGTTTCCTGTTTCCATATTTCCTGTGGATCCTATACAGGAGGGGGCCTGACTCGTACTGTCTGCTTCTCTTCTTCCCTGACCTTGATTTCCTATCGAGTCTCCTTCCTTTTTCTGTCCCTCTCTGGCTAAGAATATGGGGCAGGTTTTGGGGGGATCTATTTTCTGTAATAGTTCAGAGCTTTTAAGATTCTACAAAAACTAAGTGGGACAGAGCAAAGGATTTGTTTTGGCTCCATTTCTATATGATTTCATTAAATTGTCGACATGCTCTCAACTTTGAAGGAGGTGATATTTAGGTAGTTTTGATGAAAGAACTTGGAAGAAATATAGATATTATAGCAACCTTTATTTTTTTATTTTTTAAATTAATTAATATATATTTTTAAGCTTACAGCACCTAGTCTTCCTAGGTGGTCTCCCATCCAAGTACAAACCAGGTCTGACCCTGCTTAGCTTCCGAGATCAGATGGGGTTGGGCTTGTTAAGGGTGGCATGGCTGTAGATCACTCAGCCTTTATTTTTAAAAGTATCATTAGCCCATCAGTAGTTTATTTCTCGAATTACTTAGAAGTTAGGATTTTACTTGTGTTGAGTCTAAAAAACTCTTTCATTTTCAAAAATCTTTATGCAACGTGTTTTGAGAATCTAAGTGAAAACTTTTTGAAATAATTTACCATTGTAAGTACTATCAAATTATAGGAGAAATAATTCAGTGAAAAGAGGCATTTGATAAAGTATTTTCTTATATCATGACATTGTGCATCATTTTATTTTTAAACAGACACAAAGCATGGAGGACACAAGAATGGAAAGAAAGGACTGTCTGGAAGTTCTTTTTTCACATGGTTTATGGTCATCGCTTTGCTGGGGGTCTGGACGTCAGTAGCTGTTGTCTGGTTTGATCTTGTTGATTATGAGGAAGTTTTAGGTAAGAATTTTGATATTGTTTCTTAAGTGAACTTATAAGAGCATAAATGACATCCCTTAGTAGTCTTAAAGATTTATCAGCATGTTTTAGGTACTGTTAATTTCTGTAGCCATTCAGTGGTTCTCAGTGGAGTAAAAAAACGGGGAGTTATCAGGGTTTCCTTGAAGTAGTGGGTTTTTAACTTCTTCGAACAGTAGTGTATATCAAGAAAAGTTTTATCAAACAGTATTTACTCTCACTATGTGCAGTACTCTATAATTACTATTCTATTCATTATGTTAGAAATTTTAAAAATACTGGTTGTGAGCCACTGAATTTACTTAAGGACCCATTAGTGGATCATAAACATACAATTTGTAAGACTTTGCCTTAGAGAGCATTTCAGATCACACCCCTCTGTGTCTTTGTTGGAACTGGTATGTGTGGATGTGAGTGTGTATGTGTAAATGTCATGAAGTGGGGTGTGTGTATGTGAGAGAGTGTGTGTAGGTACTGGTATGTCTCTCTGTGTGTGTGTGTGTGTATGTCTGTGTGTGTGTCTGTGTGTGTGTAGCTGTTAGTATAGGGATATGTGGGTGCGTGTGTAGGTATGGTCTGCCTGCCATTTTGAAGCAGTTGCCATGTTATTTCTGTTAGTTGTCTTCCTTTCTCCTTAGTTTTCGATTTCTCTCCCCATAATCACTGCGATTTTTCATGATTTTTTGCATTAATGATTTTTTACCATTTCTGAGTCATACTCCATTTTTTCTTTTTTTAACCTCACCAAGTCTTTTTTTTTTTGAGATAAATTCACATAATCACATAACAAAATTCAGTATCGAAAATACTTAAATACTTGAAAATCAGCAGTTTACTGATTTCTAATATAGTCATCATTTTGTGCTGTCATCATCATTATCTAATTCTAAAATATTTCCATCACTCCTTTCCCCCAAAACACCCAATCCCCTGCTCCTTTGCTCTCCTGGCAAACACTGATACACTGTCTGTGTCTCTCTGAATGTCTCTTCTGGATGTTTCATGTAAATGGAATCACATAATAATGTGGCCTTCTGTGTCTATCTTTTTGCACTTTGTATAATGTTTTCAAAGTTCAATACTTACTCCATTTTATGGCTGAATAATATTCCAGCATATGGATATACCACATTTTGTTTATCCATTCATCACTGTTGGACCTTTGAGTTATTTCCACTTTTTGGTTGTTATGAATAAATGGCCTTGTTCTTTAATAACTCAGTGAAAGAAGTGGACCATGTCACTGAAAAAAAAAAATGCACACTTCTCTGCGGTGTTGCTAGAAAAATACCCTCCCTTTCATAGACCCTCATGTACTTCTGCTTTACTTGTTAAGTTATAGCCATCTTTTTTGGGGGAAAGGGCAAAGAATAAAAAAACATGCTTACGTGTAATTTGCCTTTTGTTGAAGCTCCTTATTTTTCTTACTTTAAGGAAAGCATCTCTGGATAAATCGATAGACTAACAGGAAGAATTTAGTGTGGGACAGACTTCTCAGTAGATCTGTGCTTTTGCTGACTTACCGTGATATGTTATTAGGGAAAGTCTGTTAAACAAAAGAAGGAATTTCAAATATTTGTACATTTGAGCACAAGTAACAATTTTCATGTTTTCACATGCATGCAGCCAAAGCAAAGGACTTCCGTTATAATTTGTCAGAGGTACTTCAAGGTAGGCTGTTGGAGATGCATTTTAAGTCTACTTGTGTTAGTCTCTAAAATCTCATCTTTATTCCGTTAGTTATCAGACAATCTGTAAGTGATAAGACCAATTTTCCTTGTTAAGTTTGTCAGAAAGTATAGTATTTTCCATGTTTCTAATGTTTGAACTCTGTGCTATATATAGCCTTGACCTGTACATCAGTGTTTTTTATTTGCTTAGCAAAGAAATGATAACTTTTTATCTCTCCATTACTATTATCATTTTTGATGTGTGTTTGCTTTCTAAACCAGACTTCTGCATAGCAAGTGTACTGTTTTCCTAAGTAGAACAAGGCTCTGGGAGGGTGAAGGTTGGTCATAGCTACTGTATTCCAGAAGTCCTGCCTGCTCTCATGCAATGTTTCAATTTACTTTTTATTAAAGAAATGGTAACAGTGCTGCCAACTGGTTTCTTAATACTAATGCTATGTTTGTGAATGTCATTTAAAATATTGCTGTACATTATTATGTCTCCTCATAGCCATTGCCCAGTGATGGATTATAAATGTTGAATTTAGGATGCTTTTTAGAGAATTGAATGTATTTGACTCATATTTGAAGTGTTAAACATAACTGTGCTCCTAGCTGGTAAAGCTTTATTAAAGCCTTAAAATACGTATTTACTCTGCTTGTCGAGGAAAAGCTCTGGTACTATTGTCTTCTCAGGTTACCTATTATTTTTTTCTAAGTAGTAGCATTTGGCCTATGCGAATTAAGCCTTGAAGTAGGATAACCGTAAGTTTTCCTTGGTGATTTCAGGAAGCCAGTTTTACATACTTTATTTCCAATAGCCATTTATTTTAAAGGTCGATTTATGGTTTTTCGGTCGTAAATCATTATAGTAAAATATAAAATTAATTGTTCTTTTATTTTTAGTACTTATACTCAATGTTAATTATTTATATTTAGTGCTTATTTGAGGCTTGGTGTATGTCCTTTTTGTTTTAAATATTGATGGTGGAACTTCCATACTTTAGAACCATTGTTTCATGTGACTGTTGGAAATAAATCAAAATTGTTTCTTATGTGTGTTGAAAATTATACCTAAAATATTCTTAGCAATATGATAAGAGAAGATACTCAAAATGATTAAATCAGGGTATTGCTAAGCCTTCAAGGAATATATTTTCTCAGTTATATTTCTTAGATTTGTTAGGCGAACATTTCCTGAATCTCTAAGTGAATTGCCCATCATTTTTAGGTAAGATATACACTTAGCACTGCTATTCAGGATTAAAAGAGCACAGAATTGCATTGATTGGTAACATTTATGGCTGATGTGCAGGACTGCAATAAGTGGTAATATCTTATTAAATTTGATTTTCCTTTTCTTTCCATATTTATCTTTACTCCCTTCTTGTAGGAAAATTAGGAGTCTATGATGCTGATGGCGATGGAGATTTTGATGTGGACGATGCCAAAGTTTTATTAGGCAAGTAGACTTTTTATTTTTTGCTAGTGTTGGTAAAATGCCAGAAACAAAAGAATATTTTGCCTTGATAATATCTGTGTCAATTGTATACATTTTATGGAAGATATTTTCCTGCTTAAGTCATATATTTCATTCTTTTCGAGATGTGTAATTATTTTTCCATGGACTGATATTTCTGTTTATTTTTATAAATAGATAAATATATAGCTCTTACACAAATATTTTTAATAAGTATAATTTCATATGTGTTTTCAAATTTAAAGCACTTCATATTCTGAATTTAACATTTAAACATGTACATAATTTGCTAGTCGGTTTTCAAATATGGTGATTACAGCCATTCTTTAGAATCATTTGACATAATTTGCTACATTTGTAAGCTTCTAATGGCTTACATAAACTTATTTGGAAATAAAATAGTGGTAATAAACATCTTAAAATGTCCTGTGCGTATTTTAAAGGTAATATTAAAATATGAACTCGTAGTCTTTGGCCAGATTTCTTTATTTTAGAAGTCTAAAGCCCTTTTTCTGTCATCAGAATTATGTGTCTTCATCATTGAGGTGTTTCTTGTAATAAAAAAAGATTTAATATTCTCTAATTTGTTTTAAAATGCTGTCTTACTAGAAAGGATGGTATTGATTTTAATATGCAAATTGTATATGATCTGGCTTGGTGAGGTATGTGTTTCTGCTTATTAAACAGCATCATTTGTTTCACTTTAGTATGTAGCATAATGTGTATTAAAACTTTTTGTACTAAAGTCTTTGGAAAAATAATGAATATGGCATGGCCTTATATACTACACTAAGCTTAATAAAATAATGGCACAAAGAAATTCTGCCAAGACGCACAATTTCGTGTATATTTTATGGATGTGAAAAAAATGAGAGAATCCCACATCTGTGACCAGTGAAACTTTTCAGTAGATTTATCTTAACCTCCCTGTAAAACAGTAAGCTCTAAATATGAAAAAAGTGTTTTTATTTGTGATTAAATATAACTTCTTAATTTTTGTTCACCTTTTATTATTTCTCAGTAGGAATTATGTTTGCTACTTAACAGTGGAAACTATCTATGAAATTTCTTTTTCTGTCTTAACCTTAATGGAATTTTCTATGTAATTCTATCATATATCTACATTTGAGTTTATAGACAGTAAATCCTCAGAAGACTATATAATCCTAGGCATGCAAAATAAATAAAATTATATAGAGAATTTAAATTAGAATGATGCTAATTTGTTTGCCTATAAATGGTTTATTACTCCATTATATTACTTTAAATGGTAGATTCTGAATAGTAAACCTTTTTAATTTCAAAAGTAACTTCATGTGGGCCAAGTTTCCTCATTTTTAGAAATAAAATTACTTATCTGTCTATTACTGATTTTTTTTTAGCTTTAAATCGGCTATCTAATCTGTCAGTTAAGAAATGTCAACTATTAAAATGTATTATTTTTTCTATAGAACACACTGATTTCTTTAGCAGACACATTAATAACTTGATTTTTAGTGTTATATTTAGATTTTAAGAGTTTATTCCCATTAAGGTTTTAAGCAATCGTTAAGGGGTTAAGTATAACTCAGAACATTGCCATTCACAGGTAGACACATGTGTGTTATGGGCAAATCATGACTTGTACCTTTTTATAAGAATTATATATTCCAAGGTGGAACCAAATTTGGTGAATCTCAGTTCGTTTTGGTAATTTGACTCTCAATGCACAAAAGCTAATATAAACTATTTTGCAGTAAATGTGTACTAATTCACAGTTCGTGCTTCAGTAAAGATGAAACAAATCAAAGGTGAGCCGTCAGGCTCACTTATGTCCTCTGACCTTATTGCTATGATGTTTGAATTCTCTGCATGAAATATAATCTTGACTAGAACTGAATTTTATGACTAAAGTTCTTTTCTAGTTCATGATGGTATTGTAGGTTAGTTGTGCCTTTGTTACTAGCAGGTGGTTGAAAGAAAGAAGCTGGTGAAATTCTTGGGGTACAAAGAGTATATTCAGGGAGAGGTTCCGAGGTGAATGGTGTATTCTCAAAAAGAAGCCAGATTTCCTGGGTGCATTCCCAGTGGAGAGGCAGCTCAAGGGTCCAGGTTTTAGATTAAGGAGTGGGTGTCCAAGGGGATGGACGAAAGTAGAGAGTTGGAGACTGGGGAGAGTTTGGCGTGGTGGGTGACGTAAGAGTTGAGATTGTTGAACTTTCATAGTTTTGGCATTTCTTTCAGAAGTATTTCTTTCTGTATTCTTGAATCTGCATATATATAAATCTTATCAATTTGAGGAAATGTATGCATTCATGTTTACATTTCTTTCACATTTTAAGGTTGGTTTGTCTAGTGAAATATCGAAAGATTGAAATATGTGTGAGTAAATCAAGATCAGTAGCCATCATTAATTTTATTATTTCATTGTTTCTGGTCATGGCCCTTATGATATACTGTGAAAATATTCTGAGCCTATTCTAGTGTACATAGCTTTCTACTTTTGTGGCCAGATTATCTAAAATAAAGTAGCTTTGATTTTAGTTTGGATTGTTAAAAACTACATGGTTTGCAAATGTATTCTTTGAAAATTTGTTTCCCAAGTAAAATCGATGGGAAAATGATCCAAGAACTCAGTGCCAAAAGTAATATTTCCTTACGGCACCATCACTGAAGGATTCTGTGATTGGCCTCTGACTAGTCCGTAGCTGGCACCGTATCAGATATGGCTGCAGAACAAAAAGGAAGCCAGTCAGCGACTCCCAGAGCCTTGTCAGCGGGCAGACCGGGAGAGCGCGCGTGAACGAGCTGACGGAGGACAGGCCTGGCTTTTGCCCCGTCAAAGGCCTTCACGCCCTCCTCTTTGGTTCGGGCCAACGCTAAGAGGTTAAGGAATTATGCACCAGAACATTTTCTTTTTCTCTTTGGATAAAAAGTATTTTTGTCTTAATCACAGGAAGGTTTTATAGTTAGATGAATAGTTTTGTTTAAATACTTTGCATACTTATTACATACTTCAACCTGTCACACTGAAGGACGGTAAAGTTTTATATTTAGTACCCGATACTTAGAAGTACTTGTATTGGAAAATGAAGAGAAATAAAGGTGTTTATTGTAAATATACAGCTATAGTGTTTTAAAGGAGGAAGAAGAAACTGTTATTCCCACAGAGACCTGGGCGGGAATACAGAGCTCCTCTGTTCATAGCACTTGTCAGCTGTCATATTCAGTGTAAAAACATCTGGGTTTGTCAAAAAATAATTTAAATACTAACTGCAGTTTGTTCTCCCCTCCCCTGCCCCCGCCAGTACATGAAGAATGGCATGATGTAGTTCTTCCGTGGGCCATAATCTTTGGTATTTATACTAGTTGCCTTATTATTATCCTTCACCTGCCAATTTGATTGCTGGTAGGTATGCTGAATAGAGAATTCTGTGTTGTCAGAGCCTGAAATACTAAATTAGGTGCTTATAATTTCGCCTCTGAAATCACGGATGTTCACATTTCTTACAGCTGGAACCATCCCCCCTGGTGGGTTCACCCACCTCCTCAAAATTATGGGCCTTGCTGTATAGAGCTTGACAGTATTGGTGAACGTTGGTACTTACTGGAGCCAACAGACCTTTCCTACCCAATACCTGTTCTTCATAGGAAAAAAAAAAAAAAAACCCACATGATAAAAACAATATCACTTGGCTTTCTTTCCATCACGGAGCCCTGTTTTGGGACCAGGACTTACAAACAGCAGGAGTCAGAGTCTTTGCAGTAAAAGCTAATTTCATGGGCTGATGGGGAGAGAACTTTGGAATGTTCTTATTACAAATGACTGGCCAAGGCCTTGATCCCATTTTATGTTGGTAGGCAGAGTGAATTATCATTCATAGCTGACTTTTGTCATTGGCCACAATTACAGGACCGTGAGTCAGTAGCCGGAGCATTATAAAGGTAACATTCTTGTAGTGTTAAAATTTGTAAACTTTCTGAGTTACATGATTTGAATGCATTTATACCCATCCATCTGTGGAGGCTATGCACAGTAATCCTGTTATTCACGTTAATTTCAGATTTTCCCAAGTTAACTCCAGGTCCTAAGGGGCAAGGTTTGAGGAAATGAACCTTCCTATTTTTCAGTGGGTATTTATGGATATATGTAAATGTTTGTATAATCAACTCTCGATAATATCTGGTTGGTAAATGAACAAATCTGGAGGTCGTTTGAAGTATCTATGTTTTTGCCCTCATACTGTAATCACTCTTCTCACTGACAATAGTCAATCGATTTTGGCTGATGCAATTTTGTGTTTTTCAGCTCTAGATTCTCTAATGAGAGAAAGGCAAACCTGGTTAGGGGCTGGTAGGAATGGTGAGGATTGGTCAAATGGTACCTTTCCTTTAGCACATATGATTGAGAGTTGATTGTAAGGTGTGCATCTTGATCAATTCCTTTGTTTTCCAAAATATCTTTTCTGTAAACCTCCGTGTCCATGATGCACATCCTTTTTGAGATCACTCTTCCTCAACTTCTTTTTTCCGCCTAACTGCTCTCCTTATTTTCTCTTTCTCTCTTCCTTTATTCTTATGTAGGCCTGACCAAAGATGGCAGTAATGAAAATATTGATTCTCTTGAGGAAGTCCTTAATATTTTAGCAGAGGAAAGTTCAGATTGGTTTTATGGTTTCCTCTCATTTCTCTATGATATTATGACTCCTTTTGAAATGCTAGAAGAAGAAGAAGACGAAAGCGAGACCGCAGATGGTGTTGATGGCACGTCACAGAATGAAGGGGTTCAGGGAAAGACTTGTGTCATTTTGGATTTACATAACCAGTAACTTTGATTCAGGGACTGACGTCACTGGCTTATGAAAACCCGAAGCTGGCTCCTTTCCCCTTCTTTCCTTTGCTCAGCCAGGGCTTCCCCGTCGTGCAGTGGGGCGGCTGCGATTGAACAGTACAAGGCAGCCATGTGACCTTTTCCCCCAGTTCAGTCCCAGCTAGTCCTAAGC